CACACACACACACAAAGTACAGGCCTATCTACTAGCAAAAGCTAACCAGCCTTAGCATGTGGGAGTAGAGGAGCCTGTCTCACAAACACATTACCCAATGATATTAAAACACTGGCCCATGAACAACTTAATAAAAAGCCTTGAGAGCCGCATAATAAATGACAATGTTACTTCCAGCTCAAATGACTTTCCTGACTTCTAAAGATCAGCTCCAGAAGAATTTGTTTGACGTCAGACGTCGCTTTCAACTTCCAGCCTTCCTCACAAACAGCAACACGAGAGGTCTACTCACGGAGACATTTGTTCAGTTAGGGGCTGCTCACCTGTTCAGTTTGAAGTCTGGAGAGAAGATGAGTTTTCCCGGGTGATCCACCGACCTCCACATCAGGCCCAACATCAGGATCTCCAGCCAGCAGCACTTCAGCAGGTGGATCTGATCAGACAGACTCAGCTCCACAAAGCCTGAGGACACACAGAGGCTGCCTTTAGACCAAGAACCAGAAGTGGGAAGTAACGAAGCACAAAACCTTCAGCAGTTTTCTTCTAGTGTCTGTACTTTACTTGAAGTATTATTCCTCTCTCTTTTACCCCATACAGTTTTCTACACATTAATCTCTCTCTCAAAACCAGGCTTCTTAACTTAAGTTTTAATGCATTTGAGAATACTTATCAATTATTGTTATCTTTTGCATCAATGCAAGCTTCCCAACATCAAGGCGGATGCTTACACGCACAACACGTCCTTCAGAGAAACCAAGAGAGTAACTTTTACTTTTATACTTTGAGTAAATTTCTTAAGCTGTACTTTTTCACTTTTACTCAAGTAAAGAAGTTAAATCAGTACTTCTACTTGAGTAAAGCATGTGTGTACTTTTGCCTCCTCTGCCAAGAACATACATCTCCTATCCATATTCTGCATGGATTCAGAAGATATTTACACTGGGCATTAAAGGCAACATTTGCATCAAAGCGACTGGAGATATAAACTCCTCAGCTGTCATAAAAATGATCTGAAGCTTTAACACATGCTCTCCAAAGAGGCCTTTGCAACCAACCTTGCCAAAGCCAGGGTAAGTTCAGTCAGCCAACTCACG